AACTTGTTTAACACTATTTATTTAACATAGTGACTAGACAGTTCAGAGAAACCAACAGACGAAGACAACTGAGAAAACAACCAATTCTATTTCAAGGGTTTCTTCCTGTGCATAAGCATCTCTAGCAAACAGTAAGGTAACAACATCATTGTGAGGTCATCCAATTTAGACTGCAAACAGAGCAAACTACCCTAATTACATTTGTTCCAGATTAGTTCGGCAAAGCAGTACAAAGCAAGCCCACAAGCATGCTTGTTCTTTTTTTGTTAAATTGCAGACAAAGTAGTCAAGGGTAGCAGTCATTTTTCCAATATGGAATCAGCCTGCTGAGAATTTAATTAAGTTACACAAACCCAGGCCTATGAAATTATTTTTATTCCAGTTATTGTTAGCATTCTCAAACAAACTACGTTTTTGTAAAGCCCAGTTTACAAGCATGCCTTCGTCAAATTGCATAAAGCTGCAATATGATACAGTAAGATGGAAGATAAACAAAACTACCGCTAATAGTTTTATTCAGCTTGTCCTGTACTGGGACTATATCTCGTATTTTGTACAAATATGCAAACTCCCGTCTTCTCCATATTTCAGAATTATTCACTTGGCTTAGTGACAAACTTGGGAGTTCTCTGACATTTACATATGGAATGGTAGGCATGCAATTCTCATGCATCCGAGGATCAAGATATGAGACACAGTGAAAAATCTGCAAAATAGGCTGATATTTCTATTCTGCACTGCAATAATGAGGGAGGGCCAGCAGCATGACATTGCTGCATCTATGACCGTGACATTGCTATGAAGCACACAGCAGTCCTCTTGCCAGAAGGCAGAATTACGATGGGTGAAAAGGCAATCTACTCTCTCCATCTGCTGCGTAAGATACAGGATGATACTATTTAGCCTATCTTCAGCTAACAGGTAGCTCAAGATACCTATTGCACTACCCACAGACAGAAAAGCGTGTGTATACCAGATTAGTGTACCATTAAAAAAGTGCACAGACCTAAAAAGGAAGAACTCTCCAAGCTGTGTATATCAATTTGAAATGTTTGATGAGACTCACTATTACACATCCAAATGATTGTGCATGCTGTGAATTCATTCCATAATCTTCACTTGCTAACTTTCTTAACATACCAAGAGCTATGTGCTCCTAACTTCATAATTAAAATTTCTATTGACATCCATCTTTTCTTTTTCTGATGAATCTTGACTCAGTGTTTCCCCACAGTGACCATATATGGTGTGTAGCACAAGCAGAGCAGAGATAAGAAAGTTTTGCAAAACTTAAAACATCATCTTTGTGTGCATGGAATTTTGATTTTCCTGGCAACTGCAGACTGAAATTTCTACTGATGTCTCAAGTATCAAGCATGCTTCTCCTTCCCTCACACACAGAAATGGCCTCTTAAAGAAGTAAATGGAGAAATTTCAACAAATTTGAGGTGAATTATGTTTTATTTTTATTCATTTTATAGTAAAGCATGCATTATTTACTATGCCTGCCTTATAGAAATGTTTTATAACTGAATAGTTGTTTTGAAGTACTTCATTCTTTCCGCAGAGCAATTTTAGGAAGGAATGCCTTCAGAAACAAACATCAATTCAGAAAATACAATTCCACTGAACACAAATTGCTGAAGATCGTGACTGGGAGGTATTTATCAATCACAAGATTGACTACAGATTCCAGTCTTCCTACACTTAACTTTCCAACTGTTTAAGCAGCTATTTGGGAGCTACCATTGCTACATTAAACAGGCATTTCTTTATTGATATAGCTATACACAAATGCTAACAATCATATACTGTATCCAACAAGTTCCAAAGACTAAGGATATACTGTAACTGTCAGCAACCAAAAACTCTCTGGGAATGCAAAAACCTGGAAGCAGAAGCAGTTACAAAATGCAAGGGGAAAAGGGAATATGCTTGGATCCCACAGTATATGCAAATTAGCATGTTACAGAGGTATCTTTCTGCACAAAAAAACCCGCAAAACTATATGAAGTTCCCAGCAAGTCACAAAGGGCAAAATGGCAGGTCTAATGAGCACCTAATGAGCACCTGGCACAAGAACAATATACTGCAGCCATTTTTCTATACAGATTCAAATGTTCTTAAGTAAGGCCTTTGAAAGTCCGAAATTTATGTTAAAATCCAGATCCCAAACAGTGAAATAACACAAAAGTATGTGTTTAACTTAGTGGTCCCTCACTAGTAAAAAAAATCTCAATGCAGTTAAGATTATGTGTTAAAGCCTCTTTGGCTAAGATTTGCAAACTATGCAGCATGTGAATATGCAACATGCACCAACTTAGTACTTACAGCAACAGATATCAGCTAATGTTGCAACAAAACAAGGCTTATTTAGAAAAATACATTAAAAGGTCAAAAAGACTTGATTGTTAAAGTTGCTCAGAACTGATCATCAGAATGTGTTTTCCTATGAAGTAGTTACTCCAGAGAACTATCAGCCAAATCTGCTCCCTGGAGCTCCATCTACTGACATCAAAAAAAAGCTGCCACGTGTAAAAAAAGCTGCCTCAGCAGTAAGATCCATAGCTTTAACATCAGGGGCCAAAGCTGTCAGTGAATGACATTCCCTGAACACATAACAAAAGCACTTCCTCCACTGTAAGAGGTAGTGAGCATAATATAACGGTATTCACCTTCCAGGGATTCAATTCCAGTTGCTTGTGCCAACAGGTCTTCATGTCTTGCAACAACCTTAAAAAATTGAATAGAGATATCAACACAGAAAAACGGGGATGTGTGCCAGAAAGGACTATTAATACATCAACGCCTACACTAGGCATTGAAGTATCATCATCCCTACATTAGGCAGATGCAGGAGAAAGCAGCCCCACCTTAAAGACAAGAGGGTTTTCAGAACGCATTTTAATTCACAAAAGCAGCAAACTCCGAGCGAGAAGAGGGTCAGCAGCTGCAGCGTAGCTGCCATCTTAAAGCCAGCAAAGCAATCACATTTCAACACACCTTCCCACATAACTATAAATGTAAGCTTGTTAATCACACAGTAATAACGTACAGTCACATTTTAAGAACTTTCTTTTCTATTTACGATATTTAGAAACTAGTTCCCAAAGAATTTACCAATTGGGGCAGGGGAGGGAGGAAGCACGTTTTGAAACTACACACAAACTTATCATGAGTTCTCACTGCAAGGTCCACTATGGATTTGCAGTGTCTGAGTTGATTTTACCAAAAAGCCTTCTACTATCCAAACTCAAAAGCCTTTCTGAAGGCATGGAGGTGCGTTAACACAGATTATATCCTCCCAGCTAAAGGTAAGCCTTAGAGCCAAGGCTACTCTCCAGCACAGGATGAAGGGGTGCAAGTTAAATCATTCCCTATCCTCTCACCACTGTCATCCCAAAACACAGGTAGTGTTTCTGACAGCTGACGGGATCGTTTGTAAAGAGTCAGCAACCTTCCTTACAAGGAGGAGCGGAACCTCCACGTACACAGAGATTGGCTGCAGAAACCGAAAACAAAGCAGTACATGGCTTCTTGGTAGGAGCATTAAGAGTGGGCTTGGTTGAGTTAACTACCAGATTCACTACGAGTTTTGCTGCAAGTTGTACCTTTAGCTACTGCTTGCAGAGTACACTGGGCGATTTCAGAAGCAACAAGATCATAAGATTACTAAGCTTTTGACTAGTTTACACCAACCACCCCAGAATAACAGGCATGCTTTAAACTTACTTGTAAATGAAGCTCTTTATCCAGCTGACTGATACCTTGGGCAAGTTTTGCCAGTTGCTCAGCTATCACAGCCTGATGGATAGACTGGGAAGTGTAAGCTTTGACATCAAAGTCTTCTCTGAAGAAGTCAGCATAACACTCTGAAAAAGATTTATATTTTATCTTCATACATCAAAACAGTTAAAGAATAGCTACAGGCCTGAAGCATACAGCGCTCTGACCGTCAAACCCTCCAAATGTAACAGCATGTGTCCTCTGCATCGCGTGAGACAAATGAGACACTGGTTTGAGAAGTGACCACAACCAAGACAAACGAGTTTGGAGCTGATGGCTGGGGGGCAGGGGGAGGGAAGCTGTAAATGGTGGAAAAGACACACGTTGCTTTATTCCCCACAGCCTTTCCTTGGGTCGAACACACTAAAAGGTACGGGCACCTTCCTCTCCCAGCTCCACACGCAACAGGGCGAGACTGCTGGGGCTGTACCCGGGGCCGACCCGCTCCGGCTCTCTCCTCAGCGCACTTTATTCCCCCTCGCGGAGCAACCGCCCTC